GAGAGAAAGTGGTATTTATGGAAAGAGTAATGTCGTGACGGTACCTTTAACAATGACGTAAGGCTGCGTTTGGATGCAAATCCCCATAAGTAACAAAGATAAGGATTGTGACAGATAAATATGTCCAAATTTGCCCCTGTGATTATGGATTGCTCAATTTTGCACTTCATTACACGATTCATTTATATCTTTATTATTAGCAAATTATTTAGTGTTTGTCTTATCATTAACAAGCTCGAGCATGAAATTAATAGACTTTACATATTTAAATTGTTTGGGGAAAAATTCTAGATTTACTCATTAACTTCGGATTATAAGTTAAAATTATTCTCAAATTGAAGCTCAATTTGGGATCAGGAGACAAAAATGAGATTCTTTCCTGACAGTATAATAAGATGAGACTATAAGTTTAATGAATGACAAAATTGCTCGATTTTAAATATATGAGTAAATTTATCCATTTTTCATGTATTAAGACTGTCACGTATAGGGGGCGGAACTAGTATGCAGGATATGAGTTCGGTCGACTCCAATAATTTTAATTTTTTTTATTTGTCTTAAAAAAACTATTAAATAAAATTATTAATTCAAAAATTAATAACTTAAAAGGACGAATAATTTTGAATCCAAAAACTTAGCTCCTCCAAATAAAAATGAAAATTATACCGCTTGGCAAAATTGGTTAATGGTGGCGTGGCAGTATATTATTGGATAATGTACTTAACTTGCCAGTAGGATATAACATTAATCTAAAAATATTTCATTTTTTTTTTTTTTTGGTTTGTTATAAAAATTCTAGTTTGGTCCAAGGTCCAACCAAAGAGATGAGATTAATTAGAAGATAGAGTATGGGAGTCCCGCGGGCGATAGTTCCAAAGCTCACACATCCCTAGGCATTCGTAGGCCATTATTTTTCTTCTTAATAATGACTACATTTCGGACCAGTAAAATTTTATTAGTGGGGTTTCAGGAGGGTAATGTATACGCAAATCTTATTCTTACCCCAAAGGCAGAGGCGGATTTAGGATTTGACGCTTATGGGTTCTTACCGTAATTTCAAATTAATATGTAATGATAACTGAGTTCACAGTTAGAAATTTATAAATATTTAGTGAATTTTTTAATATAAACACAGGATTTACACAAGAGTTACTGGGTTTCCGTAAACTCGTATTCCATGCTCTGGGTCTGCCCCTGCCCGAAGGAGTAGAGGTTGTTTACTAAAGATCCTTAGCTCAAGAGGATAAAAAGACAAAAGGAGATAATATCAGTGTCACCACTGAAATCATAGGAAAAGTAGAAACGGCATGAAATCCAGAAGAAAGATGCAAAGCAAAAGCGATAGCTAGTAAATAGGTCTGGAACTGAAAAGTGAAATAGTAAGACACGATATTGCCACTAGCTATCTTAGGCAAAAACCCTACCAGACTAGTCTCACAACAGTACGAAGTAAGGCAAAATTTAACTACCTTCTAACCTACAACCCTAATGCTCGACCTCCATATTTTCCTACCAAGTGTCATGTCTAGCGCTCCTACTATCAACAAAAGTTAAATATTGCGTCCAAAAAAGGAATGATGCTGGAACTTATTTACAGCATGTTTAGTCGTGCTTTTAAAATTAGTTTATTTTAAAACGTAAATTTTTTAAAAAATGCTTTTAGTAAAAGCAGTGTTTGACTAATTCATTTGAAAATAGTTTTAAACAATAATTAATGTTTGATCAAATTTATAAAAAGTATTTTTAAATATATTTTTCTCAAAAGCGCTTTTAAAAAAATATTTTGGAAGAAGCTAATTTTTTTATTTTTTTTTTGCATCTCAAAAATTACTTCTACATCTACTAAAAAGTAATTATTTTCTTATAAATATTTGATCAAACACTTTAAATTTGAAAAGACACTTTTGACACAAAAAAAAAATGCCAAACATACTATTAGTCAATAGTCACTATGGGCATTTGCGGATGTAGCTACTATCAACAAGAGTTAAATTTGTGATTGTGGTCGATATTAATAAAAAAGTATTTGACCTTGAAACGGAAAATTTATGGAAATTGAATCTATGTTTGGATATCAACTTTATTTAAACAGTAATTTGTGGAAATTAAAAATCTGCAAGTGAAAATCATTATTCATAGTTCATACACCTTCAATTAAGTTTTTTATTATTACGCCTTAAATTTTGAAGTTTGATTTTTATAAATACTCATGACGTGTTTTATTTAGACATAATGAGGTTCGTTTTATTCTTCAACTTTTCAGATTGCATTTATTATCATAATTGGTGTAACATAAATATAGTTTAATGTATTATAATAATTTTAATAAAAAATTTATTTTTACAATTCAGACATCTTAGCTATTATTATTCTACCATAATTCATGATTATTTTAATATCCTATAAAGTTTCTTTGACAGAAATAATAAATGAGAAATATTTTAGGTTAAATATAACAATCTTCATATTTCTATAAATAAATTCTGCCCACGTACCGATCTTTCTAAAAGTACTTGTTTTCTCTCTCTAATCCAATGCTCACCGGCGCACGTTAGTACGACGTCCGTCCACCGTGGATATGGCTCGGGGAAGAGGTAGACCTCGAGGAAGACCAAGGTTGCAACCTTTAGCTGGGGGAGGAAACCTAGCTGAAACTAACTTGCAACTAGAAAAAACTCCAATAGCAATTATGGCGAATGGTAGTGTTCCATTGGAAGATAATCAACAGAAGCAACATGCAAGTGATGGAATGAAACAAGTTGCAGCTAAGAGATTGGATCTGAGTGTTAGTCCAATCCTAAGTGGCCAAAGTGACAAATCAAGTGAGAAGACTGCAGATCTAGCGAGTACGAGCAAGGATCTAGCGAGTACGAGCATGTTAGCACAAGATCTAGCACCAGTAAATGAGGAGAAAGGGGAGAAAGCAGCGTGGACTTCATTGTTTGCAGGTAATCGCAGCTCTGAAAATGGTTTAAAACTGAGTTACATACCTCCTAAAATTGTAGAAGGTAAGGCAGTGGTTCAACTTGTGAAAGAGGATGTGGAGAAGGAAGTTAGGAAATGGAAATGTGCCCTAATTGTGCATGTAATTGGGGAAACACCGGGCTATAATTACATGCATAGATTTGTAAAACAGAGTTGGAATCAAGTTTCAGAGCCGGAAGTATTCTATCATAATGAATGATGTTCTACGCGTCAATACCACACAAGAGGGGGGTGATTTGTGTGGTACCTAATTTTCGCACTAGAAGAACCTGGTTCTTCTAGATGTACTTACTATTACTGTTTGCGGAATTAAAAGTGCATAAAATAAAGAACACAGAGATTTTTACGTGGAAAATACCTGGCTCAAAAGGTGAAAAAACCACGACCTACTACTCAGTAGGATTTTCCCAAACTTCCACTAAAATCACTGAGCCAAAACTGCATTTACAAAACTCTTGTAAACCTAAGGATTAACCTCTAATCCCAGTGTGGCACACAGCCTCAACTGCTGCGACACTTTCAAGTTAACTCTAACTTGAATACTCAAAGTACCTAATACAGTTGCTTCTATGAAAGCTGAAAGGTACAATTTTAAAACACCTACTACAATTGAACTAGAATAAAAGAAAGACACAATGGAATTGGTTCTTCTATCTTGTCCAAGTAGCTTCAGGAATGCACACTTGAATCTCACGTAAATTGCTTGCAAAAAGCCTTGCTATTTTGCTCTTCAATTTAGTTTTACTTCTGCATTTGTGCAATACCTGTAAAAGAGAACAATCATTATTATTTATAGAGTTAGTAATCAGAGTTTGATTAAAACTCGAATTGCTGATCCTTCATCAAATTCGAGTACTAGAACAATTCAAACTCCAATCCTTATTCTTGATCCGGATGTAGTTCTCTTCACATAAGGAGACTTCAACTCCTTATCCTATGCAACCTTTTCGATCAACTCAGAAGATATTGTTGCTGACCCTTGAGACTTATCTTCACACGTATGTCACATGTATAAGTATATCAACACTGTGTCTATCTCACATGATGGACCTGGTTCATGACTGAGTTCATTTTGTCAATCTTCAAAACGTTATCTGAACTTGGGCCAACAATGAAGGATACTATATTGTCAAGTTTCAATTTATGAATGATATGAATGAGATACTATACTCGGGTCCATACACAATGAACAATAAGCCACTTATTTTGAAGCCATGGACTGTTAATTTTGATTTTACCAAGGAATTTCTAACTAAAGTTCCACTGTGGGTGATTCTACCTAACCTACCTATGAGTTGCTGGGGAGTGCAGTCTCTGAGCAGAATTGCAAGTGCTATTGGCAAACCATTGTATGCAGATGAATGCACCTCAAAACAAAAGAGGATCTCATATGCTAGGATGTTAATTGAGATTAATGTTACTAGAGCATTGCCAACAAGTGTCACAGTATGGGAACCAAATGGAAGACAGTTTGAACAAGCAATAGACTATGATTGGAAACCAGAGTTCTGTGAAGAATGCCTGAAGATTGGTCACTCTTGTAAAAAAGTGGAGAATGAGCAAAACCACTATGAACAGCCTAGAAGAAGAAGAAGAGCAGTTGCACCAACTGTTGCACAGGAAGCCACTCAACATGTAGAAGAAGTGGTACAAGAGTGGAGAGCTAAGAAGACTAATGAGGTGAAGGATCTTCCTACTGTGGTAGTAGGAGCAGATCAGCAAGTGGGAGAAACAAATGACAAGCAACCTACTGGCCTGGAGATCAAACACCTGGAAGGGACAAATGACAAGCAACCTACTGGTCAAACACAACAGTCTTTAACAAGAATTGGAGATCAAACACCTGGAAGGGAGGTACAAAGCACCCACAAAAGCCCTGAACTGAGCTATATCAGGGAGTTCCCAGCTCTGGCTACTAGCTTACTGAGAGGGAATAAAATAGGGGAGTACACAGATGGAAAGGGGATACAGCAATGCTTGCCCACAGCTAATAGTGGGCCACCTATTAGAGATTAATGACTTGGGTGATATGGAATGTGAGGGGGATAAATAAGAGATATAAACAAAAAGAATTAAAGATATATGTACAGAATAAGCAAATAAAGTTAGCTGGTTTTTTGGAAACTAGAGTCAAGGAGAACAGAGACAATAGGGTATTCAAAAACATCTTACCAGGTTGGGCAATTCAGAACAATTATCAGAATGCAATAAATGGGAGGATTTGGCTGACATGGGATCATAAGGTATATTGTATTGATGTTGAAAAGATAGATGCACAATTAATTCATTGCACAGTAAGGGGGAGAATGGCTGGATTTGAAGCTTGCCTTACACTAGTGTATGGATACAACACAGTTGAGCAGAGGAAATCTTTATGGAGTAATCTGAATGATATTTCAAAACAAGTGACAAAGCCTTGGCTAATAGGTGAATATTTTAATGCTATGTTGTACACTCAAGACAGAATGTATGGCAAGCCAGTAGCAATAAGTGAAATGGTAGATTTTTCAGACTGTATTCATAACCTGTTTCTGAATGAAGTGGCATGGAAAGGAGAGTACTATACCTGGTCCAATAAACAACAAGGTGATGACAGGATACTAAGTAGAATTGATAGGGTGTTTGGTAATGACTTGTGGATTTCTAACTGGGGGTATGTATGTACTGAATATGATGTGCCATTGATATATGATCACTCTCCTATGCTGTTGAACATCAAGTCTATTAGATCCACTATCAAACCACCCTTTAGATTCTTTAACGTATGGACAGATCATAAGGAGTTTGGAAATATAGTGAAATCCATATGGAACAGAAGATTAGCAGAGGATGAAATGGAGAATGCATGGAAGAAGCTCAAAGCTCTGAAGCCTTTATTCAAGAGACTAAATCTGATGAATATAAGGGAATAACAAAGAAAATTGAAGATGCAAGAAGTGACCTTGTTACAGTCCAAGAAAAGATGCAAAGCCAATATAGTGGCAGTTTGCTAGAGCAAGAGAAACAAACTCTCCAACAACTAGAGAAGTGGTCTCTAATTGAAGAGAGTATTCTAAAACAAAAATCAAGGGTTAAACGGATTAAACTGGGGGATGGCAATACCAAGTATTTTTCTGTTATTGTAAAAGAGAGGAGCCATAGAAAACAGATACTAGAGCTAACTACAAAAGATGGAAGGAAGGTTAAGGATCAGATTAGCATCAAAGAAGAGTTTATAAGATTTTATAAAAACCTGATGGGGGCTTCTACAAAGACATTACCAGTAATCAACAAAGAAATAATGAAGAATGGCCCTAAGCTTAATAATGAACAACATCTTAGTTTGATTGCTGAAGTGACAGAAGATGAAGTATATAAGGCTCTATGTGCTATACAAGAGGATAAAGCTCCTGGGGTTGATGGATATAACTCATGTTTTTTCAAGAAAGCATGGCCTATATAGAACCAGGAGATTGTGCGAGCAGTGTAGGAATTCTTTACCACTGGAAGGATGTACAAAGGTATTAACTGTACAACAATTACTCTTGTTCCTAAGGTGAATAGCCCAACTACAGCAAGGGAATTCAGGCCTATTGCATGTTGTACTGTTCTTTATAAGATCATATCTAAAATACTAGCAAGCAGACTGCAGGGAGTAATTGCTAGTGTGATAAGTGAAACTCAGGTAGGATTCATTCCAGAAAGGAAAATATCAACATAATCTTATCTCATGAACTTGTGAAGGCATACACCAGGAAGAATTCTTCCCCGAGGTGTATGATCAAGATTGATCTAACCAAAGCCTATGATTCTGTAGAATGGATATTCTTGGAACAAGTGATGGTTGAGTTGGGGTTCCCTAGTAAGTTTCAGCAATGTGTGCTTACTTGCATGAAAACTGTGACTTATTCAATTATTCTCGATGGTGAACCTACCGAGCCATTCCCAGATGCAAACGGATTGAGACAGGGAGATCTCATGTCTCCTTTCCTCTTTGCAATTGCTATGGAGTACTTGAGTAGAAGCTTGAATGGACTGAAAAAGGAAAGGGAATACAAATATCATCCAAGGTGTGCTAAGCTTGGCATAACTCATATGAGTTTTGCAGATGATCTGTTACTTTTTGCAAGGGGTGACATTGCCTCAATAACTCAATTACAACTCTGTCTTAATCATTTTTATGCAGCTTCAGGCTTGAAAGCCAACCAGGAAAAGAGTTCAATCTTCTTTGGAAATGTTACTTAGTTGACTAGTGAAGAGATGGTGCAAAAATTTGGTTACTCTAGAGGTATATTGCCAGTTAAGTACCTAGGAGTTCCATTAACCACCAAAAAGATGTCCATAGCCCAATGGCAACCACTTATTGAGAAGGTGGTGACAAGAATTTCTTCATGGACAGCAAAAAAACTCTCATATGCTGGAAGAATGCAATTAGTGCAATCTGTCTTATTTGGTATTCAGGCTTATTGGTCTCAACTGTTTCTGATTCCTAGCAAGGTCTTGAAGACTATTGAAGCATACTGCAGAATCTATGTGTGGTCAGGAGTCAATGTCATTACAAGAAGATCTCTGGTAGCATGGGATAAATTGTGTACTCCCAAAAGTGCTGGGGGACTGAATCTAATCAATCTAAAACTATGGAATAAAGCAGTAGCAGCAAAGAACTACTGGGATCTAGCTAACAAGGGTGATAAGATGTGGATCAAATGGATACATGAATACTATATAAAAGGTCAACAACTGTCTAATATGCCAATACCAAAGCAGGCTTCCTGGGTAGTTAGAAATATGGTGGAGGCAAGAAGCTCAGTAGAAACAATTCATATTCAGCTAAAGAAGAATAATAGTATGATCAGACAACTATCTTTAGCTATGATGGGGCAATTGCCAAGAGTAGAATAGAAGATGTTCATGTTTAGAAATGAAGCAAGGGCAAAAGCTAAATTCACAATGTTGCTATACTTCCAAGATAGGATGCTAACAGTGATAGATTGAACAAATGGGGGATGCAGGTGGATAGGAAATGTATTCTGTGTAAAGTGCATGATGAGAACATGAAGCATATCTTCATTGAATGTGAGTATGCTAAGAGTGTTTGGACAAAGCTGCTAAAATGGATGCAGAGGCAACCAATCTCGGCAACCTCATGGGACCAACACTGGAAATGGGCTGCAGAGAATGCAACAGGGAAATCAAGTAAGGCAGGAGTATTCAGGATGGTATATGCAGAAGCAATTCATGAGATATGGAACAAGAGAAATCACAGAATATTTGAAAAGCAAAGCAGGAAAGCTGAAGAGTTAGCTAGGAACATAGCATGCATATGTAATGTTAGAGCAACTAATCAAAATAGGCAGTTTATACAAAAAATTTTATATTGATTGTAAGTAATAGCAGAGAGGAGGGGAGTATAGTAGATATATGTATAGTTTTGGAGAGATAGAACAAATAGGACAGTAGGCTGAGTTATAAGCCAACTGTTAACTTGTAAAGCTTCAATGGTGATTAATGAAAATTTTAATTACAAAAAAAAACATTGGAATATGTGAGAAACATAGAAAAATAAAAATATAATGACAAAAATAATAATGTTGTAATCTTGGAGATATAAACCTGATATATGCCACCCGCTTTTTGATTCTTCCTCTCAAGTCTTCCTCTTAGAATTTTTTTAATATGAATCTTTGACACTCATATTTCATAAGATTGATCTTTTTTTTTCCTCAATTAAATTTTTAAGAAATGGTAAAAAGGAAGGGAAACAAAAAATAGAAATAGAAACTAAAAAGAAATGAAAAGACAAATATTTTACATGTATTCTTTATTGGGATAGAATCTTCCTACCGACGATTCCTCTACTTAAGAGTTCAAACTCATCTATCCTACCACAGGCTTTGCTGATTAATAATCTTATGTCTTTCTTTTCACAATTGAATAAATATTTCACTCTTTTATTATCCATATAATAGCCTCATTTATGCAAATTTGTTGCTATATTTTAGAAAATTTGCTCCTTAATGTACCTTTTAGTATTTTAAATTAGTGTAACCCCCTTTCACTCAATTAGTCTTTATCTAATATCTTATTATTATTTATTTCTCTTATTCATGTTAGAATTTAGCAATATTTAAAACTCAATATGTAAGGTGGAACGTGATTAATTCTCTAATCAGGAAAAAAATAAAAAGATAAGGAAAATGTAAAATATGAGAGAAAAGGTAAATACATTTCTTGATATATTAGAGATGCCATCGTTCACTTTCAGCATGCCACTTAGTAATATCTAGAGATCTAATAATATCAATGGGTACTTGAATTGAAAGGAAAATGTAGTTCCATTACTCAGACAGTCACTAACTACATGAAATTATTGAGTGAAGTCACTTTTCTTTTATTTCTAACAAAAAAAGTCACTCAACTATTTCTATTGCACTCTAATGATCACTCAGCCAGATTTATTGATTTTTTCAGTAGAAAATGCTAATTTGGCAGTCCACATGTATTTTTGGACTACATAAAATAATTAACGCCAAAACATAATGTAAAATCCACCCATACACCCAATCTGTCTCGATCCGACCCGTTTATAAGAAAGAGCGTTGTAAGACTTTTTGGTGGATTTTTATCTTTATAAACAGTTCGAATCGGGTGTATGGATGGGTTTACATGCTTTGTTTGGATGTTAATTATTCTATATGGTCCAAACGTCTATGTGGACTGCCAAGTCGGCATTTTTCGCTGGAAAAATCAATAAATTTGATTGAGTGATCACCAGAGTACATTACGGATTCATACGTATGTGACCAAACAACACATATGTATAGATTTTATCTAGGCATGATAAGCGTTTACGTGTTGATTTTAGGAGTCAAACAACAATCTTTTGATGGAAAATCATATTATGGTGGGGACTTTATGTCTAACTAGTTTTAGTATACGCGTGTTGCGCGTGTATACTACATCAATCAATAGAAGATATATATGAAAGAATAATTTTTTGAAATATACAAGTTGACATTAAAATAATGCAATTTTTTATTTAAATGATGAAAAAAATGTTATTACATTGACACGATTGCTAAATTTAATATCTTTTGAACATGATGACCAATTTAGTCAAATTAATTGTATAGATTAACATGGTGTATAAAAGTTTTTCTAGTTATCCTATAAGGAATCGATAAACAACTTTTAGCTTAATCCTAATTATGAAGAAATAACTTGTATTGTAAAAAATAAAAAAAATAATATATGGTTCTAATTTGTCAAAATGTTAAATAAATGGTGTAGGTAGAAAAAGGAAGTTGAACATACTTCACTTTTCCAAGTATTACGAAAGTGATTGGTAAAATTTGAAACGTGCTCTTTTTCTTTTTTCTTTTTTTGGATTCTTATCTTAGCTATATCTTTGTTATTTATAGATCGTTCAACATGGTGATTGAATTTGTAATTTGTAACTTAAGTGCATAAAAATCTTATTTGTCATCCACAATTTATCAAAATTATAGATAAATTAAGTGGACCTTTTTTCGTGTAGAAAGTTTGCCCGGATTTTTTTTTTTTTGGTTAAAGTCTAAACCTCTTTTTTACCACGTTTATCAATCCTAGATGGAATCTACTAATAGGTGGCCTTGAAATTTTAAGAGTTCCTATAATTATTTTCAATATTATAGGAGAACAAAATAGACAAAAGTTATCGTTACCTGAAAGTTTCAATTATATTTATCGAAAATTAAAGATCTTAATTGTAGTCACAAGTTTACATGAGATGCTCGTTGCTTAATTTGTTTTTTTATTAGATATAAAAGTTGGTCAGATAAGAAAATAATTTATATAAGCTATTTTAATTGATTTTTTTAAAGTTTTAAATAATATAACTCCCTAAATACTTCAAATAAGAAAATATTAAATATGCATAAAATTTGTTGATTTTAAAATCTTAAATATTAATAAATATTTAAATGATAATTTTGTCTCGATTAGTATTCGTTAGGTTAGTTTCTTCTTGCAGCAACCATCTTATTCTTTTAATTATTAATTTCAAGCAAAGAGTAAAAGAAGATAACTAAAAGAAAACAATGTATAGATCAGCTTAGAAGATTCTAAACTATAAGGGTTGTTTGTTGTGGATTAATTAATATTTTGTAAATAATATAAGTGATTATCATAAGTTACTTCAAGTAATCACCTCCTCTAAATTGATGATTGGTTATAAGCTCCCAACGCACATTATAAGTTAAATGGGAAATATAAATTTATGCAACTTTAAATTTGATCAGGTACATAAGACTAAAAGTATGATTTGCGTATATGTAAGCAGAAGCGAAAATCTTGCTTAAATTGTTACTTGGCAAAAATTATTCAACAAGAAAAAAAAGATTGAAATTCCTAAATATGAGTTTATATATAGGTCAAATAAGGAAAGGTTTTGATAGTAAAACGTTTTAGTTAATTTTAAAATTCTAAATATTAGAGAAATAATCAAATGACTATTTTGTCTAGTACGAAATCTATTTTAAGGATAAAAAAGTCGAACGACATTTCTCTAAGGGTCATCATGCTTTTAATATAGAAATGAAAAGCACGTTGCGCGTGTACCCATCTTAATCAGTATAATTTTTTTTTAAAACACACGCTAATATTAATTTTTTTTGAATATTGAAATAAAAGTTAAAAAAATATAAAATTCTGAAAGATGCAACCTAATTAGCAACTCAATAAAAGAAGAAATCTTGCTCTTAGAGAATATATTCAAGTTAAGATTTATTCTAATTTTACAATATAAGTTATTAGGCTTTCTTTTACGTATCAACAAACAAAAAACAACTCTCGACAATTTAAAGAGATTTTTCTGAATTTTTCTTTAGGGAGTTATATATTCTTGAGTTTATTGTAGAAGATACAGACATGAAGAAATTGGCTGAAGACATATTTTTTCCTCATGCAAAATGCAAAATTTTCGAGGAAATTGAGTTAAACATGAAGAAGTTATACCTCAACGGCTCAACGTTGTGATTGGCCAAATTTTCATAATTAAATTCAATTTAATATATTATGATATATGTACAAACAAATCAAAGTGGTAACAAATAATCTTCATTATCTTCTTAGTATCCTTTTGAATCTTGGCACTAAAAAGTCAATGCTCAGTTAAAATTCTTTTCTATTTTAGTACGGTTCTTACCAATATAGCCTACCTATTTTTGTTAAATTATTGAACAAAAATTGAAAGGCACTAAATAGCAAAAAGTTAGAATTAATAGTTAGTGTGTGAATTATTAATTAAAGGTACTAACCCAAGTGATATTTTACTTGGTTAATGAATCGAAGTTAAATAGGCCTTGATGCAATATATGGCAAGTAAATAAGTACGATATAAACTTAAATTTTAAATTTTTGATATTTTTAGATATTAGGGCTTCTTACATAATTTAAATAAGGAAAAATTAAATAAGCAAATTTTTTGTTGATTTTAAAGTTCTAAAAAATAAAAAGCAATATAGTGACTATTTTGTCAAGTGTGTACTTTAGTTTTAAAGGGTAAAAAAGACGAACGACATTTCGCTAAGGGCCTTCATGCTTTTAATATAACTAGTTTTAGTATACGTGCGTTGCACGTGAATTTTGTGTCTATCAATAAAAATGCATAGAATATTATATCAAAATTTCATAATAAGTAATTTTTTTCATTATAATAAGTATTGAATATTTACGAAAATATATTAGTTTATGCATCAATATTACAATATGTTGTAATTAGTTCACATGAGTTGGATGACATACCTCATTATTCTTTAGAATCTGCCCAGTATTTAAGTACAATTTATTAACAGATTTTTATATTAATATCAAAGTTAGATTCAAAAGAAAAATTTGAACTAAAAATAAGGATTGAGCATATTAGAAAATTTAATTCCTTACAGCACGATATACCCAACTTTTTTTTATGAGTAATTTATCTACAACTGTCTAAATTCAATAAATGGGATATAACTTTCAAAACACAATATTGTAAATTATTTTCGTGCGCAAGGTAATTATATTAATTAGTAAAATTTTATATTATAAGTGAGATAGAAAAATATTGCACTTTAAAATTAATATTCCGTGAAATATTTATGATGACGAATGAGAAAATAGTCCAAACGAGAATAAACATTTTTCGTGAGATAATAAAAATGATTTGCCTAAGCAGATGAAATTGTCAAAAATCTGGCTACATGCAAGGACGTCTATTGTCAATTTCTGTTATTTAATTAACACAATTATTTAATAAGATCTTTAATTGAGAGTTAGAATGCATAATCAATCTTCTGGTACAGACTGCAATTACTCTAACAATCTTTATAAAATTTCTAAATACGTCAACCTTTAAACTGAT